AGACACGATGACACCAATCTCTTTCGATTCCTAAGCTTGTGAGCTTCCAAATGATATATAATAATGCAGGTTTTACATTTTTGAGCTTTTCCTTTAAAGCTGCATAACTCAGCCCATTTCAGAGGTTTCGAGCTCAAACGTGGACAGAAGATCTTAGGATCCTCTTGTGCTGCTTCTGTCTGAATTTGGTCCGGGTTGAAGCTGATGACTTTCCGACCATCCGGCGAAAATGAAAAAAAGGCTGAACAATAGTAAGGCTTTCTTCCATTTTAGGGCAAAATCTTTTTTCTCGGGTTTTTCAGCTTTTCAGGTGCAGAATTGGATGGTGGTCATCGTGAAGTCGTCTAAACTTTTGGGAAACGTCTAGTTCAGAAGATATAAGCTCTAGAAGATTTCAGACGCGTCGCGGTTTCTTGAGTTGAACTGTGCTCCAACGAACCCTGTACATTTCTGGAACTTTGATGGAAGTTTCAACTTGAATTTTCGTTCAGGTATGTTTTCTCATTGTTCGTTTTCTTCCTTTGTTCCTGTTGTGTTGTAATCAGTAGGTTGATGATGGATTCTCAGTGTGTGAGGAACCGACCGCGAAGATGCTTCTGAAGGTAATCATTAGATGTTGAAGCAGTAGGATCTTGGTGAGAATTGTTTTCTTTGTAACACGTGATTGATGTTCATATCTTTCAGGAGGTTCATGTAACTTGAGAGGAGTTAGACACAGGCTACTGGATAGAGGTAAAGTTGGTTTATAACTTGGTGAATGTTAGTGTAGGTGTTACAGATAGTTATAGCTGATTCACCTTGATCTTCTCATGTACGAGACAATCATAGTCAATGAAGAACTACTTCTGAAGGTACTCCCATAGNAGGGCAGGAGTAACCGTTTGTTTCTTATGGTTTCATATGATGTGTTGTTATTCCTCGTGTTGTAACTCTTTTCATTTGAAATGAACTTGTTCGAGTTAAATTTCTTGTTGTTTGATTGGGGCTGGAATCTTCCAGGGCGACTCAGAGGACTCTGAGTGGATCAGGGGAGGAGGTCTGAGGTCTTTGTTGTTTAGTCAGATATTGATAATCTATATATACCGTATTTGGTGATAAAAGTGTGGCAGGATAGCCGAGTGGTATACACAGAGATCTCACAAGAACATGGTTGGTTCGATCTCCGAGGAAACTTCTACTGGCCCGAAGAAAGTAAGTCAGAAACGACCCCCTCCGGTCAGAGGAGGGGGGTATCTCAATATCGAATACTAATTGTTTCTAATTCCAGGCATACATCAAGGAGATTTGAGCTAGCGTGTTATAACTAACCG